AAAAAAAAAAGAAAAAGAAACTTCGAACAAGGTAATCATCATAACTAGCAGTTTACCCCACATCTATCAGAATACAGAAAAATGAGATGGTGAAACAGCTCAAACTTAATTCCCACATTCCCATATTCCATCGATGGCAATGCAGCAATGCTCAGGTGAACAAGCAGATAACCCCAAATCTCAAAGATTCGTATTTGATATAGGTATACAATGATGTGTTTAAAATATAAAATCTTAACTTTTTGGTGATCTGAGAGCTAGTGACACATGTCTTTCTTTTCTTAAATCAGAAATTCAAAAACCTGGTCGTGAGAAAACAGAAATTGTCTAAGGACATTGCGTACAAAGGACAAAACACAACTTTGTTTCCATTGTTATGACGGAATTTGCACTGATTTACTGACAAGGATAATAACTTTTCAATCTTAGAAACTATAAATTCTTGCAGTAGCACATTATGAATAAGGGACCAACAACAGCCCCCCACCCCCCAGAAAATATGGCTCTGGATGCCCATCATTTTGCCAACCTTACAGTGATTGGTCGCCAAATGGTAAATCTCCCATACTGAACTGCCGTTTAAAAGGAACATTTTATGTAGGCCTAGGATTAGACGTTGTTATCAATCCAAAACATTCCAGCATTTTTATGTACAAAGGAATTTTAAAAAAACACACACGACTTTCATTTCATGTTATCATGTCGGCACTTGAAGTGATTTACTGACAAGGGGCAGTAACTCCTCCGTCTTGAGCCGCCAGTTCTTGATGTCCTTGGAGACGCTGCACCAGTGCTCCCCGTGGTGTGGCTCTGCTAGTAGGCACCGCTGCCTCACGTCCTCCTGGTGTCTCTGGGTACACAGGCGAAATACATCACAGGTTACCAACACGCAACAGCATCACATGTGTTACAAAAACAGCCTGTGCTGTTATAGGGTAAAAACATGTGTTATTTACTGACTGCCCCTTCATTTCATCTGGGGTCTCAATCAATTAGTGTCTGTGGAGTAATGGTCATGCTCTCACACACAAACACACACACACACCTTTTCCTCAAACGTAAATTCAAGGTAGGCGGACACATTTCTACAGAGGGTGAGACGGAGAGAAATTATAGTGAGAGAGAGAGAGATTAGAATGCCAACACAAACGAACAAGCAACCACCCTCGCCTCTCAAATCTAATGTGGGGAAAATGTAAAAAGAGTTCAAATCCCATGGGAAGGGACTTTAGTCTGTATCTCCTTTTTGCACACCCATAGATCCACAAACACATAAATAGACTAACCCTTTCTCCATAGGGAAACTAAAAACTCTCAGACTATACAAAAACGGTCGCTCATCCACACACACAGGACATAAAAAGTCACATAAAAAAAACACCAAGGCTCACCTCTTCCCCGTGGGTGAGCTCAAACTTGTAGAAGAACGCCCAGGCATCCCCGAGATCTGGGTCAATCTTCACGGTGCGGTTGAACCACTCCCGAGCCTTGCTGATCTTACGCTCACTCCAAAACAACCTGAAGGTGAAAATTAACGAAAGAAACAAAAATGTTAAAATAAATCAGCATAGTTTATGTTTTAACACTGCTGTAAATAATGACAACCCTTACAGAACAAATTGTCAGCCAGTTGTTCAGATCTACTAAATCCCAATTTTTTATATTAAAAGAATTTTTTTTTCTAAATTGCAGTTTCTTAACTCTTTAAACCCTGACCTTTTTCCACCGTTTACCGGAGTTTTTTCTACAGTCATCTAAACCTGGTGCACTATGCCTCATTATAACCCCCAAAAGTTTGTCTCCAACTTCTAAATGGCGGAAGCAAATGCTTAGTCATTACTAAAAGACTTGGTTCGGGATTAGTTTCGAAAAACAAGCAAAAACTAGCACTAAATAAAACGAAAATGTCACTAGTATCGGACGTTCCCAGCGTTTTTTCTCCCTCCAGTAAAATTATACTTTCTCGACTTACGTTTTAAATTATATATTCCCTTCACAAATTCTTGTTTCTCCCAGATCCAGTCACATATATTAATATTTCCCCCACAGGGCAGTGGCCACCTCAAACCCAGTCCAGTAATTTTACCGTAATCTATCCTATTGTCTCTAAAAAATATTCTACATAAATACAGTTTGCACTACTGGCCCCTAACAAAAGAATCCCTGCTGACACTCTCTAGAATGGGGTCACTGAGGAAGAAGCACTGAGAGAGTCGATCTATACGAGCCATTCATGGGATGAGAAGAGCATTTGGATGGGGGTTATGCACTTTCCAATTTTTCAGCCTTTACCCAAGACACAAGCATTTAAAAAAATAACTTCCAATGAAAATCCCAGTCTCCTCCCCAAAAATAAATTCTCACTGTCACTATCGATCAACAAAGGAAACAACAATAACAGCAGCTCACAGAGGCTGCAGGTGACAATCTTACTTGGAAGCAGCTAGCAACACGTGTTGGTTGTGCTCGCACTTCCTTAGCGCGTCAACACACTTGGTCTTGCGCTGTGGCCTGTGCTCAAGGAAGATTGCCTCCGCCCACAAGATGCCGGAGTTTGGACACTCCTGGAGAGCTGTGGACAGAGGAAGGGGCAACTTAATGCTGTACATATTTGGCATAAGTAACGATGATACTGCTGCAGATAATCATAAGTATATTTCAGTGTTTAAGGCCATTGGCCCACATCACACCACAAAAAACACTCATTTATTCAATAAAGTTTCCAGAATAAAAAATACAGGTTGTGCTCATATCTATTTTCATGGGTCAAACATTGCAGATTTCTGTCACTGGGCCGAGTCAGGCTGGGGTGAATTAAACATTTTCTTTCACGTGCAAAATTTGGACAGAAAAATAATGCAGATAATAAAGATGATAGTGAGGATGACAATAAAAAGGTGAAAGTAATCATGTAGAAGGAGACAAGAATAATATCATAAATAGATAAATATGATGATAATGAAGTAAGGATGATGATGACGAGGTGAAGTTGGAGATAATGAAGAACGTGTGGAGGCTGATGATGATAACAAAATTATTTTTCTCCACTAATGATCCCGAAGAAGCCCTAAGAATGAAACGTTGAATCTCATTTTTCTCTAAAAAACATAGAATTCTCTGAGTATAATCTTCATTAACTTATGAGTAAAAACACTTCCAAGACAGGAGAAAAATACAGGCATTTGCTTGTTTAAAGACGAAAAGGAAGAAAGCAAAGAGTACAAGAATAAAAAAAGAGCCCTGAAATTCTCACCTTTAGCCATTTGCGTGTTTGCGAAGCTCTTGAGGCCACCTCTGATTTCAACACGAACTGCTTCCAACCTGAAATAATTAAAACAAACATTCCTTCTTAGATTTACAACATCAAGTTTTCAAATCCTCAGACAATTTGGGGCTGTTTTTAATGTCAAAGGGATCAAATTTCCAGAGAAAACATACAAGTTCAGTCTTTACATTTGCTATTCAGACAAACCATCTCCAGTTTCTATTCCTTTTTCGTACACAATCTAGTCTTAACTTAGGAAGACTCAAGGACAAATGAAGAACAATTCATGTGACTATTTGATCTATATTCCCATTTTTCAGTTCACCCACTGTACAAACACATGTGTATAAAAATAAAGACAAATCCAAAAAATCATGTAAACAAATAAAAATGCACAAATACATACACATATCCAAACAAACAAAAAGATCTGAGGTCGCCTAAGAAAGCCCATTTGAAAATGACACGTCTTTAAACCCTACATGTTTATCATTTTAATTCTTTCAACCACTTGGAAATTGTATCTGTGATGTCTAAATTAACTCACTTGAGCCTGAGCTACTTTTCCATCAACAGCCATTGCAATCGAAGCTTGATGGATTTGGGGTACATTGAATCGTCAACCACAAAAAGACTGTGAAAGCTATATTAATTTTTTAAGTGCAACAAAAGAAAAAAAAAAGCATTGATCTCCCAGAAAGAGAGAACCTCATCTATCTGGGGGTTGCGCAATTTTTTTTGCGCCCAATTTGTAATAAAATCATCTAACAAAAATAACTGTCCTGCACACAATAAGCAACACAGAGTGTTCACATTACTTCTTCTGTGTGTTACGGAACATAATTTTAAGAATAACTCAGAAACAACAAGCTCATGCCCTAAATAACCTGAATCGTTTCAAAATATTGAACATGACAGGAGTGGCCTACCACAGTTCGTCATTATGAGGATTCTTCAGTCTGGCTTTCTCCAGGATGGACCTTGCCCTTGTCAGCTGACCCTGTGACTCCTCCAGGCGAGAGAGCAACAGCCACAAAGGAACAGCCTGGGGGCACTTCTTGAGCTGGGGACATTTGGGAAGTTTGAGTGAAAGAACAACACACGCATCCCCTCGGAATGAGTTCAGTCGGGGACCATTTGGAGGTTTGAGTTAAAAGAAACACACACACACATCCTCTGCTGATTGAGTGTGAGTTAACAGAAGCACATCTGATCAACATGACATTTTAAAGTGCTTAACTTGGGAAAGTCCTTTTACTATATATCCAACCTACTTCATTTTATCAAATCTTCCCTGGTTTAATTAAACATTCTATCCTATCTTATCTTATAATTATATACTGGTAAGCTCTTTACGACCATATCTGATTAAACATTAACTTGTTTCTGGGTTTTTGGTAAATTTTTTAAAGGCACTCACAACTGCATAAGGCCAAATGAGCACGCAGGACACACTAGACATTTTCAGTTGGAACGACAATTTGAATTTTGCTCGGGTGGTGGCAGAAGCCTACTCTTATCAATATTGGACCACCAAGGGATCTTTAACGTGCGCAACTTGCACACAGGACCTCCAAGATTTTTCGCCCTCATCCGAGAATGGAGACGAAAGCAAAAGACAGAACATGCTTAGAGAGAGCTGGAAAGGATGTGAAAGGAGAAAAAAATGTTCCACCACTGTCAGGTTTCAAACCCAGCACTTACTGAATGAGGGGCGAACACCGTAACCTCTAGACCATGAGAGCCCCCTAAATATTAACTTGTCAAACCAAATCTCATCTTACCATTCTTAGAAACCTTATCATATAAAAGTTTATCAAATCTTACCTAACTTATTCAAATCTTATCTCATCTTACCATATTATTTGTCCACCTCTAACCGTATATCTGCCACATTAGGTAAAATACATTTTTAGTCCCAGTTTATGCCATAAACGACAGTAATTATAACTGGTGATGAAACAAGTATAAAGTAAACTCCACACATTATTTGGGCAATTCTGGAAGATAATGAGAAAGGCTTTTTTTCATCTTACTCACCCCTTGGTTGTATGACTCTCGAGCTGTATCTTTCTTTCCAGCTTCTTCTTGAATTTGGCCCTTCATCATCCACAACTGAAACAGAAACAATTCTTTTTAAAAAATGTCACCAAAAGACATCATCTGAACTGCAATTTGAACATGCTGCGATGCAGTCATCTGTAGAAGAGACAACTTCCCACTCTCCCCTCCACACATTTTTATCTATTACAATGACACTGCCCAAAACATCCACCTGTCTTGGACAACTACTTTTAATGTCACAATGGGTGGATGTCGAGGACAATTTAAAGTGTCATTCCTTAATAGATAAACTTCGCAAATTATTTTCATATTACAGTTGAATCCGCCATGAAGACATCCCCCCCCTTCCCCCCCCCAGCTGCAAAACCAAGCGTATTGCTTGTGATACATTCCATCAGAGAAATGGTGTTATTTGATAAACAATATTTCTCAAATTAAGGAATCGAAATCACAACTTTTGTGATCCCAGCAAAGAGCCTGAAGGACACATGAAACTCTTACCTTGGCAAAGTCTGGATAATGCTTGACAGCTTCCTCCAACAAGATTTCTGCATTGCGGATTTCCCCGAGACACCATTCCAGCTTGACAGACTTCATAAACACCTGTCAGAGGACAGAATGTTAGTTTGAGTAAAGAGAACCGCATCCATAGACTATGGCCAGAAAGAACAGAAGAAAGACCTACCACTAGCACCTTTCAATCACCCGCATACAAGTCACACACATACACACACACACACACTGGCGCACAGAAGAACAGACACAGACAAACACACACACACACATACACACACATACACACACACACACACATGTATGCACATACAGAAGAACAGACACACAAACACACATAGACAGACACACATAGACACACATACACAGACACAAACACACACACAAATGAACAGGCATACACACACATACACAAACACACACGGGAAAACACATACACCCACACCCACAGTCAAGGAACACACGCACACAGAGAAACAACTAACCCTGGCAGTAGGAGCGCTAGCGCGAGCTTTCTGTAACAATCTGCGAGCACGCTCATACTCGTTGTTCTCGCTCTCCAGCTTGACGGCTGCCAGCCAGATTTCCTCGCTGTTTGGGTTTGCCTGGAAGGCCAAAGCCAGGATACTCCGAGCAGCTGGGACATCCCCCTGAGAGAAGACAGACGAATGGGTGAAGACAGCAACGAGAGTGACACCTGGTTCTGTATATGTTTTTGTTTTCATTGCGATGCCTTGCTAAAAACAAATACTGTTAGGTTTTTTCAAAGCAAGAGCACTTAACAGAGGTGAGAAAAGCACAAAAGAAGGATGATAAACAAAAGGTAAATAGAATGTACAATAAATTTGCTTTGGTTAGGTAAAAGTTTTACAGTTCTCGCAACTGCATAAGAAAGTACACTGAAGTAAACATTACATTTGTAAATAAATCTGTGCATTGACATTTGCAAGAGTAATTCATTCGTATAGCCACCGGCTCTTTCTGCTGACCTTAAATGGGCCTGTATCTGTATAATATATATCCTTCATCCACCATGATGGTGTGACAGGTAGCAAAGTGGAATTGAGTCTTCATGAAGCAATCTTTTAATCCAGCAATAAAACTTTACAATTCCGCCTCTATCAACAGCCACATGTATGTACATAAGAATGATGAATGCAAAGCAAAGTGTCAATATAAAACCGTCCCCCATCGTTTTATGCAACAAAAATTCTGAAATTATGCAAACAGAGCCCAAAAGTGTGAAATTATGCGATTCTGTTCATCAAAGAATGATAAAGGAAAATAATCTGAAATTATGCCCAAAAAAATGATCAAATTTTGCTAAATTATGCGGGGTGCATAAAACCACAGGGACAGATAAAAGGTGCCTCCTGTGTAACACACTATAGATATAGACAAAATGGTCAACTTGTTTCCCCGGGTACTCACAGCCAGCCACTTGGACTTTGCGCCCATGAGCCACAGCACCTCCGCCTTGGGACAATGTGCCACAGCTCTCTGCAGTAATGCCTCCAGTGACTCTCTGAAATAGGCAGACAGACAAGAATATCATTGCACGAAATTTTGTAATCTGTTCTAAAGTTTTAGTAGAGGTTTTACGGCACTCGTAACTGCATAAGGTCATATGAGCGCCAGAAGATTAGATGTATTACAAGAGAGTAACAAAAATAAAAAGGAGGGGGAGATAAGGACGATATGTATTTCACAGGGATGAAAAAGAAGCAAAACACACCAGAGCACCCGCCAACCACCCACATTTTTTTATCTTTTGGATTCCAACCCTCAATAGTCCATTAAGAGAAGCTGACATTCTGACGAAGTAAAATATTACATCTTGGAAGTACTACAACGCAAAAACATTTCAAAACGTGAAATTGCTAACTACCCTACAAATCAATACAGAAATTCTTGAAAGAATTTTTTTTTTAATTATTTTTTTAGAAAAATTTTTTAGGGGGGGGGGTGTCCTTCAAATCCTCAATAAGCCAGTAAAAGAAGTTGACATTCCGACGACATAAAATATTAGAAATTGAAAGAAGAGCAACATAAAAATGAAATTAAAAAAGAGAAATGAATTATCCCATAAATCTATTCATACAGCATCGTTACTTTGAGTCAATAATCAGTGTTGTGACGGGCTATGGTGGTGCTGAAGACTCTGGCTCGTATTCCGAAAGTAGCCTTCTTAGACTTAGGTTGTTTGGGACGTTTTCAAAGTTTTCCTCTAGTGGGTGGAAGGCAGGTGCTCTGGTGTTGTCTGCTTCTTCTTTCGCTATCATCTTTATCTCTCCTCCTTCTTTTTTGTGTTTGCTATACTCTGATAACACCTAAAATCTTCGGCACTTATATGACTTTATTGTGTTGCAAGTGCCGTAAAACACTAAAGCAAAAGTTCTCCTCTCTACCTAGTAGGCTTGGTCTTATCAGATGCGGAAACTCGTTCTCATAATGTATCTTACCACGCTGATAAAAACATAAAACTGTCAAGGTGTTGGTACCTGCAAGGCTCTAAACTAAGACTTAATCATCCTCTAAAATAGAATGTAAACTGGTGGACTAGCTACTATAGTTATCTCTGTGTAGCACTAAATGTGACTTGAGATCAAGGTATAAATGCCACCTAAAATTCATGACATCGAAGCTCCTAAAGTTAGGACCCTATGCTTTCTTTTTTTTTACAACAGAGTCCACTCAGACAAGTAAGAGAGAGAGAAAGAATCAAAATGGTGATACTAGTTCTTTAGAAAGTACAGAATACACCAGAAAAACATTCCAGTAAGCATTCACATTATCCGTGCATTTATTTTCGCTGCACTACAAATGAAAACAGATGTAAAAAAAGGAAAATGTCATTCTCGTACATAAGAGAAACAAAGAAAATACAACGCAAACAATAAAAGTAAAACCAAAACAAAGAGAGAAAGCAAGAGAAAATACAACCAAAAAAAAAAAGAAAAAAAGAAAGAAAGAGAAAAAAAAGGGTATAACTACAGCTCTATAAAACGTCTCCTCACCTGCTGCCGTGGTTCTTTTCAAAATATGCCGCACTAAGCCAGATGCTTTTTTTGCTGGGGAACTCGGACAGGGCAAAGGCGTAGATGGCCCGGGCACACTCGTAGGCCTGGCGGGCAGCACACTGAAACACACACACAAACAAATATCCTTCAACTGTGAAATGTTGCACAATACTGATGCTGTACATGTTGGTAAAATGTGACTGTAAATATTATCCATACACACTACTTTAAAATATAGTAAGGAAGAGAGAGACATGACAAGAAAGAAAGAAAGAAAAAAGAATGAAAGAAAGAGAAAGAGAGAAAGAAAGAAAGAGAGAGAAAGAAAGAGAAAGAAAGAAAGAAAGAGAGAGAAAGAAAGAAAGAGAGAAAGAAAGAAAGAGAGAGAAAGAAAGAAAGAAAGAAAGAAAGAAAAAAAGAAAGAAAGAAAGAGAAAGAAAGAAAGAAAGAGAGAGAGAGAAAGAAAGAGAGAAAGAAAGAAAGAAAGACAGAAAAGGTACCCATAATAAATATACTTACAGAATCAGAGTCTTCCATCCAAGTATGTTTTCTGTCTTCCTCCTCAATACCAACACTGATGACAGCACGGCTGAACGAGAGGGAAAGAGAAAAAAACAAACATGTAGAGATACAAATTAACCAGAACTTTGTTCAAATTACAATCCTAATTAAGGCAGATCAGGTAACAATCTTCTGACTCCGCTGCATTTGCAATAGACTGAACCAGCACACGCACTCTGAATTTTTAAGTCAAAGGCACATCCCTATGTCGGGAGGTGTTACAAGAGAGTAACAAACATAAAAAAGAAGGAGGGGAGATAAAGACGATAGATGTTTGATAGGAAAGAAGGAGCAAACCACACCAGACCACCCGCCAACCACCCACAAACAGCCTAGTCTGAGCGCACCAGTGTCGGACTGTCGTCAAAAACAAGAAGGAGAAAGAGGTTCATGATGGCACGCGCTATAGGACAGGTGAATAATTCAGTGTTTATGGCCCTGGCCCACATCACATAAAACACGCACATTTCAAAGAAGAGACTTTTGTGAAAACAGCATAAATTACAAATGACATACATATTCATAACATTCTAAATTTGTTTTGCACAGGGTTTAAATGATTGTGAATACGACATCTGTCATTTATAAAAGAACATTTTATATATATAGTGTTTACAGTTTTACTGGAGAGGCAAAAAACTGAATATTGTCACAAAGAAAACAAACTCTGTGCAACCATCCCAAGTCAATATTTTTAAGGATACAATTTTGATATTTTCTTATTATCTTTAAAATAAATGTTGTTTTCTTAGTAACAACAATCAGTTCTTTGGCCCTCCTGTAAGATTGTAGAAACTGCACACACTGTAATTTTAAAATTGACGGCAGATGCCTCATACATAATACAAAAGCAGGGGGCTCTCGTGGCCAAGAAGTTATGGTGTTGGCCTCTCATTCAAAGGTCCCGGGTTCGAATCCGGGTAGCCACTGAAAAATTTTCTTCTCTAAAATTGTCTCCTTTCACCTCCTTTCCTGCTCTCTAGCAGTG